GGATCAGGGCCCTACTTTCCTAACCAGGTGCGGACTGACCATTTGGAAACTTGGGCACTGCCCGAGGGCCCGGGGTCAGTAGGGGCCCCATGAGATGCCCCTGGGTGCCTTTTTCATAGGCTTTTTTGAGTTTGGGCAAGGACACAGGGGCCCCATGATACCCTATTGCCCGAGGGCCCCATGAGTTGTCAGTCCACCCCTGGTCCTATCCCTCTTGTATTGAACTGTATTGTTGCTGTATTGTCTCCCGTTTTATATGTAAAGTGCTGAGCAAACTGTTGGCGCCATAAATCCTGTATAATAATAAATAATATAAATCCTGTATAATAATAATAAATATAAATCCTGTTTAATAATATTTATCTTGTATAAATCCTTGTATAATAATAAAATATAAATCCTGTATAATCTTTTGTAATAATAATAATATAAATCCTGTTATAATATAATAATAATATTGAAATCCTGTATAATAATAATAATATAAATCCTGTATAATAATAAAAATATAAATCCTGTTATAATAATAATAATATAAATCCTGTTTATAATATAATAATATAAATCTGTATAATAATAATAATATATAAATCCTGTATAATAATAAAAATATAAAATCTCTGTTATAATAATAATCAATATAAATCCTGTATAATAATAAAAAATATAAAATCCTGTATAATAATAATAATATAAATCCTTTGTATAATAATAATAATAATAATTAAATAAATCCTGTATAATAATAATAATAATATAAATCCTGTATAATAATAAAAATAAAATTCCTGTATAATAAAATATAATAATTAATATATAATAATAATAATAATATATAAATCCTGTATTTATTAATAATAATATATACTAAATCCTGTATAATAATAATAAATATATAAATCCTGTATAATAAAATAAAATATAAATCCTGTATATTTAATAATAATATAAATCCTGTATAATAATAAATAATATATAAAATCCTGTATAATAATAATAATATAAATCCTGTATAATTTAAAATCCCTTATAATAATGATATGTTTAGAAAGGCTCAGGTGACAACATAATATAACACAAGCTGCTCTGTTTTCCGCACAGGCTAATTTTCAGGAACTGTCATAGAGAGAAAAAGAGCCGTTTTCTATATCTGTGCCCATGACCAGCATCGCCCACCCAGCTCTGCCCACCATCCAGGAAAAAAAAAGGGCGAAGAGGTCCCTGAAGAAGGGGGCCAAAAGAGTCTCAAAGTTCAAAGCTGCCAGGATGCAACAGAACAAGTGATACTGTGTGCGTCCCCCCCCCCCCACCCCCCCCCCCCCCCCCACCACCTTTGTCCCTCATCCACTGCGGGACACAACCCACCAATGCAGGTCTGGATGATGTTTACTAGTTCAGTCTGTGCCAGGTCACTTTCAGTGGCCAAAACATAAAAAAAATATGAATTTGCAATCATTTTGATAATCTTCAAGTTTTTTTTTTTTAAATAAATATGCAAATGATTTCCATTATTTCAGGAGGTACGGTCTGCACCTTTTTATCTTACATTGTGTTGTCATAGAGAGTCGTGTTCAGTTCCATGTCACGGCGGGAGGTAGTAGGTTTCTGCAGGAAGAAAAATGTCAAATGTATTTGCAGCATAGCAGTCCTTAGATTTGGCGGTTGCATTCATTTTTTATTTTTTTATTTATTTTTTTTACTTAAAGTGATTGTAAACCCTATGTTGGTTCACACCTGTGTATTGCGAATGATGCAGTTTTTGAACATGCATTTTTGCTGCGTTTTGTTTGCTGATAGGAAAGTACTGACTGTGATGCCACTGATGCAACTTTGATGTATCTTCTTTGGATGTGTGCGACTTGGATGCAACTTTGGATGGGTGCGACTTTGTTACTACTTGAGTTGCCGAGGATGTGTAAAGTCGCATCAAAGTCGCACTACAACCACATATATAAAAATCTGAAACGCATCAAAAACAAAACAAAAAAAAAGTCCCTGACTCTTTCCAAAAAGGTGTGAATATGTCCCATAGGAAACCATGTTAAATGGACTGCAGTGCGTTTCTGCAAAATGCATTAAAAAAACACATAGGTGGGAACCAGGCCTTACACAATGATGTGACTGGCCTCCGCTCAGGTGATACACAGAGATGAAACAAATCCTCCAGCATAGGTTGTACCTGTTTATCTGCAGTCTTCTCTACAGTCCAGAATTTACAAAGCTTGTCTGAGAGTTCAGAAAAAAAGAGGATGGAGAGCTGAAATGACACTGCACAGCTATGTGAGGAAAGCTGATTGGAGGGAAGGGACACCCCCCTTTACACAGCACACAGGAATAGAACTGAGAATGTCAATCACAGGTTGTGTGTTGGAGGTCCCTTCCCTGTCACCTTTTTTCTCTTGCTTTTAGGAAAATTTGTCAGAAGTGATTCATGCAGATAGTAGAGGAACAAAGCAGCAGACAGAAATGACACTTAGTGCTCTGGATTGAGACAAGTACACATTATAGAAGGGTTTTCTTTGTTCATATTTCATGTCTGTGGTTTGCAACCACTTTTAATTTTCACCTGCTGATCCTGCCAGCAAGACCAAGGGGTGTGCAGAATGGGCGAGTGCCTTGGGTGCTTTAGTGGGAGAAGGGCAGAACCTGCAAACTATGCCGCTGTTCACAGCTTATGGGGTAGGAGGGCCCACTTTGGCTACTCGAGTATCTTGTCCCACCACTGACTGCCAATAACAAACTTCCCGTCCTTAGAGTAACACTTAGCCTTGGTTCACTTTACTGCGACGGCCAAGTCGTGCGACATTGCCCTGCGACTTCCTTCCCACCTTGTTGCGACTTTAGACATTAGAATCTAGGGCAGGGCTTGAAATTTCTGCTCGCCAATGGCAAGTAGAAATTATGGTGGGGGCGATTGTGTCCCCCAGGGCCGTCTTGCTGAGCAGGCTCAGAGCTCAGGCCGGATCTGTCATTGGCACTGGGAGCTGTCAGACTGCTCAATAGCTGAGTGCAGTGAAAGCAAAGGAAGGAGTGTGTGCTGTGCTCTCTGCCTCCCCCTAGAGTGCAGTACCCGGCTCTGTGAGTGAACAACGAAGTACTGCAACTTTTTATGGGGGAGGGGGGGGTGTATGTGTGTGTACGTGTATATGTGTGTGTGTGTGTGTACGTGTATATGTGTGTGTGTGTGTACGTGTACATGTGTGTGTATGTGTACATGTATGTGTGTCTGTGTGTATGTACATGTGTGTATCTCTACATGTGTCTGCGTATATGTACATGTATGTGTGTGTGTGTACATGTGTCTGTGTGTATTTCTGTGTATGTACATGTATCTGTGTGTATGCGTGTCTGTGCGTGTCTGTACGTGCCTGTGTGTCTGTATGTGCATGTTTCTATGTGTGTGTGTGTACAGGTGTCTCTGTTTATGTGTGTTTGTTGGTGGCGAGTAACTCTTAAGACCTGGCTAGTAGCTCAGGATTTGAAATTTTAAGCCCTGGTCTAGGGGCTGAAATCGTACCCAAGTCGGACCAAAGTAGTGCATGAACCTTTTCTAAAGTCGGAGCGACTTTAGGACCACTTAAGACTGCTCTCATAGGGAAACATTGAATTTCACACGTCATGCGACATGAGGTCTCACAAGTCGGATCCTATATCTCAGCAGTGTGAACTGAGCCTGTCTACAAAATGCAATGCAATGAAAATGCAGAGCTAAAGTATGATATAAGACAATAATATCAAATATTTCAAATATTTAAAACAATCACTATAGGGAAGTGAGCGCTATTACAGCGCATAAAAAGTGGTCACGTGATGAATCGTCTTTATATATGACGTGTCAAAACACGGGGGGAGTATATGAAAATGTGACCATAGTGAATCATACATTGAAAATGCAAAACGAGTCCAGAAGAAATAGTGCTCCGTGCTCCGTGCTGGGGGTTTCTATAACGAGGGCCAGTAAAGTTGCGCACTTACCAGAAGCGCATAAAATATGCGCATGTATATAAATATATCCGCCAATGGTCGTCTGGGCAGGGGCTGCGGGGGTCATCAAGCACACCGTAGGCACACAGGGTAATAATGCTCCCTCACAGGACTCACTCTTCTCCCAGGGACAGCTCCAGGTCATCAGCCAATCAGAAGCACCAGTAGTAGGGGGGAATCTCCACCTTAGGGGCTCGTAAGCAACAAGCCAGAGACAAATGAGTGCTAATAGTGTAGTATTTTTATTAGAAAACGAAACTCCAGCAGAATAAAAGTTAGAAGAACTCACATGTGGAACTAAGGTAAAGTAAAATGGCCGCCGGCCGTGTGCGGCGTGACATCACTCTGGTAGGCTCCTCTCTGACGCGTTTCGTGCACCAGCACATTCTCAAAGGGATTACTACAAAATGCATTTGGCTGGTGGGTGTTGTCAGACTAGGCCGCTCTTCTGATTTGGACTACAAACATTTCCTCGTGTCCTTATCTCCCTTACATGAAAAGAAGGTGTCCTGTAGTTCCCACAAGATCACGGTGTTTCAGATTTCCCTTTTATAGCACAGAAACTGCTTGATTTTTGATGGGAATAACAGGTGTTTTTCTATACTTGCAGGAAATGCGCTTAGCCTGGAAAAAACAAATGCAGCTACAACATCTAAGGACTGGTGAGCTGCAATATATGACCTTTGTGACATGACATTCATTTTACATGGCGCTCCTCTAGTCGCTGATTTTCCCCTTCTACTGTCCCCAATCCATCTGCTGATAGAACGGAGCCTTGGGGGCATTTTGCACATGCTCAGTTAGGTGTGTGTTGCTAGATAGGTGTTTTTTGTTTTAATTTTTTCTTTGGGGGAGCATAGGGCCAATCAGCACTGTCCAGACAGAGGGTCAGGGGTCATGCAGCCTCAGGACAGTCAGAGGAGAATGAAAACTCCTCCTACAAGCTTTAACCCATGCTCGGACGGACACTGATAGAAGTCACAAGACTGCTATATACTGCTGATGAGAAAAGGTATTTAGCCGTTTATATTTACTAAAATAATTGCATTTCCATATCGTGTGTACTGTGGGAGAGCGGATATAGTGAATGCAGGGTCCGGGGGGAGACTGGATATAGTGAATGCAGGGTCCGGGGAGACTGGATATAGTGAATGCAGGGTCCGGGGAGACCGGATATAGTGAATGCAGGGTCCGGGGAGACCAGATATAGTGAATGCAGGGTCGGGGAGAGCGGATATAGTGAATGCGGAGTCCGGGGAGAGCGGATATAGTGAATGCGGAGTCCGGGGAGAGCGGATATAGTGAATGCAGGGTCCGGGAGAGCGGATATAGTGAATGCAGGGTCCGGGGAGAGCGGATATAGTGAATGCGGGGTCAGGTAATAGAACAGAGCTGTGGGAGGGGACCAGCCAGCCCCACTCACTACAGGTTGCCTTCAGAAAGCTACAGCAGGGGGCGGAGATGAGACCAATCACCTTACACAAAGAAAGACCAGAGCTGTGGGAAGGGCCAGCTGGCGCCATCCACTACTGGCTGCCTGCAGAGATCTACAGGAGGGGACGGAGACAAGACCAGTGACCCTGCACAAGGAAAGAGCAGAGCTGTGGGAGGGACCCATCTGGCCCCACCCACTATCGTCTACCTGCAAAAAACTACAGGAGGGGGAGGAGACCAGACCAGTCACAAGGAGAGCAAGCATAGCTGTGGGTGGGGCCCAGCCAGCTCCACCCTCTACAGGCTGTCTGCAGAAAACTACAGGAGGGGCGGAGACAAGACCAGTCACCCTGCACAAGGAGAGAGAGCAGCAGTGAGCGGTCTTTTCACAGGAAGTCTCACACTGGATTACTACACAGATCTGGAAGAAATACACAAATCACACCGAGATTCAGGGAAGAACACACACGAGGAATGGATTCAGACAATATTTACTTATTACAGAGTTCAGCTTTAAAGTATAATGAGTTAAATTTTTTTCAAAAACATCTGCAGGTCTAGGTATGGTATTAAAAGCTCTCAAATATTTAATGCTGGCCTCATACATGTGAGTTTTACATCCAATGTGATGACCAAACTAATATTCCTTAGTCCCCTTCCCCCATCTGCAGTGCCTTTCAGTGATGTATCTATATGATCATGTGCACGACGGTACCGGTGCCGTGTTGTCATTGTTAGTGTTCTGTGCTGCAGCCACTAACAGGTTCCCCATTGGCCGTCCTCGGTCTGTAGAGATCCAGTTCACCCTCCTCTAGACCCTGAGCTGGTGTAAAGCAATGTATACAGCAAGCTCTCGCCATGTCCTTCATTAGTGTAGGTATAAGCAGGGGCGGACTGACCATTTGGAAACTCGGGCACTGCCCGAGGGCCCGGGGTCAGTAGGGGGCCCCATGAGATGCCCCTGGTACCTTTTTCACAGGCTTTTTTGAGTTTGGGTAAGGACACAGGGGCCCCATGATCCCCTATTGCCCGGGGGCCCCATGAGTTGTCAGTCCGCCCCTGGGTATAAGTATGCAGCTCAACCATGTGGCTGCTTCTCCTGCTGTACAAGAGATTGGAAGAGCCCGGCCCCAAGTCATATTCCGGTATTTGCCCGGAGTTTAGCTTTAGGATTTGTGTAACATTTTGATTTCCCCCAATTACATGCTAATGACATGTATAAATACAACCTTTCCATTTGTATGACTTACTTTCTTTTTAGATGGCATGGCTGGGTCTCTGTGCTTCTGTATGCAATGCAGGCAGATCATGTCTGGTGGGAGGGGCCAGCGGGGGGGGGGCTGTACATAGCTTTCTGAAAACATCCCAGCACCCTGCCCTGATGCAAGCAGTGGGCTGTGTTGTGGGAGGAGTTTTGCAAATATCAAAATGCCTTAATAAGTGGAATTCAGGTGTTCCTAGGCTCAGGTGATTGCAAGAAATGGAATCTAGTGAATAAAAGGGGCGGGACCAGGACTGTCAGGCTGGGGTTGAAAGTGCTAGATGATGCTGGATATCCTCCAGCCAGAAAATGAGGCGGAGTGCTATCTGACTTGCTGCAGCTTCTAATGCATATTGTGAGACGCTCACAGTGTGCGGTGAAATCAGAAACAGCCATTTCAGTCCAGGAGAGGAGCCGCTACAACTGTACAAGACTGGAGGTCTCTGTTCTTCTGTATGCAATGCAGGCAGATCATGTCTGGTGGGAGGGGCCAACAGGGGGGGCTGTACATAGCTTCCTGAAAACCTCCCAGCACCCTGCCCTGATGCAAGCAGTGGGCTGTCTTATGGGAGGAGTTTTGCAAATATCAAAATGCCTTAATAAGTGGAATTCAGATGTTCTTAGGCCCAAGTGGGTCATGGAACTTAGTAAATAAAAGGGGCGGGACAGGGACTGTCAGGCTGGGGTTGAAAGAACTAGATGATGCTGGATGTCCTCCAGCCAGAAAATGAGGCGGAACTCTATTTGACTTGCTGCAGCTTCTAATGCACATTGTGAGAAGCTCACAGTGTGCGGTGAAATCAGAGTAAGCCATTTCAATCCAGGAGAGGAGCCGCTACAACTGTACAAGACTGGAGGGGAGGAGCCGCTACAACTGTACAAGACTGGAGGGGAGGAGTCGTTATACCTGTGCAAGACTGAAGGGGAGGAGCCGCTACACCTGTGCAAGATTGAAGGGGAGGAGCTGTTATACCTGTACAATACTGAAGGGGAGGAGCCGTTATGCCTGTGCAAGACTGGAGGGGATGAGCCGTTCTACCTGTCCAAGACTGGAGGAGAGGAGCTGTTATACCTGCGCAAGACTGGAGGGGAGGAGCCGTTATACCTGCGCAAGACTGGAGGGGAGGAGCCGTTATACCTGCGCAAGGTTGAAGGGGAGAAGCTGTTATACCTGTGCAAGATTGGAGGGGAGGAGCCGTTATACCTTTTCAAGACTGGAGGGGAGGAGCCGTTATACTTGTTCAAGACTGGAGGGGAGGAGCCGTTATACTTTTACAAGACTGGAGGGGAGGAGCCGTTATACCTGTGCAAGAATGAAGAGGAGGAGCCTTTATACCTGTGCAAGACTGAAGGGGAGGAGCCTTTATGCCTTTGCAAGACTGGAGGGGAGGAGCCGTTATACCTTTGCAAGACTGGAGGGAAGGCCGGAGGTCACCTTGAACCCCCCCCAAGTTGAATGTCGGTGTTTTAAAAATCTTTAACAAAGTTGTCTGAATCTTGCTGTAAACTCTGTGAATGTTTGCTGTACACATTGCTCCTCATCAAGAAAAAGCACACAGGAGCCAAGCTTTAACCCTGGTTCACACTGCTGCAAACACAAAGTCGCATGACAACTCAAAACACATTCATTTCCATGGGGGTGCCTTTGAAATGGGTGCCATTGACCCAGAAAGCACCCCTGTAGCAAGAGACAGCCAGGAAATTAGCAGCTTCTGAGGTCAGGAATGGTAGCCTGGGTACACTCACTGGCCACTTTGTTAGATAAACCTGTTCACTTGCTTGGTAACACAAATTGCTAATGAGCCAATCACATGGCAGCACCTCAGTGCATTTAGGCATCTAGACGTGGTGAAGACAACTCGCTGAAGTTCAAACCGAGCATCAGAATGGGGAAGAAAGGTGATTTAAAGGATACGTTCACCTTTTGGACAAAAATAATTGCAGGTAAAAAAATGTGCATTTATTATTTTTGTCCAGAGAAGACTGGAAAGCATTGCACCAGCGATCAGTAGATTGCTGATGCCATGCAGGTCTCCTGCAGACCTGTCAGAATATCTGCTTGCCGCACAGGATGTACGGTCAAGCAAATATTCTGCCAGGAAGCTTCAATGAACTACCAGAACCGTGGTAGTTCATTGAAAACTACACGCCGACAGCTGTTAAGGCTGCAGGGACTTGTAGGCACTCATTCACAGAGTAATGTGAATGAGTGACGCAGCCGTGTGGGCGGAGCCCCGCACGGCCATGCTGTTTTCAAATCTGACAGATAGTACGGGGAGACGTCTCTCCATACGTGTCAGAGGGCGGCAGGCATGGCTGCGGCTATGGGAACATGTTACATGTTCCACCCTGTAAATGGGTGGAACATGTACTGTGTTCCCAAAGGTGAACTTATCCTTTAAATGACTTGGACCGTGGAATGGTTGTTGGTGTCAGACGAGCTGGTCTGAGTATTTTAAAAAAAAACTGCTGATCTGCTGGGATTTTCACGCACAACCAAAAAATGGTCCAAAAAAGAGAAAATATCTAGTGAGCGGCAGTTTGTGTGGATGAAAATTCCTTGTGGATGTCAGAGGAGAATGGGCAGACTGGTTGCTGTGATATTCAGATGGTAGGGTCAGAATTTGGTGTAAACAACATGAAAGCATGGATCCATCCTGCCTTGTATCAATGGTTCAGGCTGGTGGTGGTGTCATGGTGTGGTGGATCCATCCTGCCTTGTATCAATGGTTCAGGCTGGTGGTGGTGGTGTCATGGTGTGGTGGTTCCATCCTGCCTTGTATAAATGGTTCAGGCGTGGTGTAATGGTGTGGTGGATCCATCTGCCTTGTATCAACGGTGCTGGTGGTGATGTCATGGTGTGGTGGATCCATCCTGCCTTGTATCAATGGTTCAGGCTGGTGGGTGGTGGTGTCATGGTGTGGTGGATCCATCCTGCCTTGTATCAATGGTTCAGGCTGGTGGTGGTGGTGTCATGGTGAGGTGGATCCATCCCGCCTTGTATCAATGGTTCAGGCTGGTGGTGATGTCATGGTGTGGGGGGTCCATCCTGCCTTGTATCAATGGTTCAGGCTGGTGGTATAATGGTGTGGTGGATTCATCCTGCCTTGTACAAATGGTTCAGGCTGGTGGTGGTGGTGTCATGGTGTGGTGGATCCATCCTGCCTTGTATCAATGGTTCAGGCTGGTGGTGGTGGTGGTGTCATGGTGTGGTGGATCCATCCTGCCTTGTATCAATGGTTCAGGCTGGTGGTGGTGGTGTCATGGTGTGGTGGATCCATCCTGCCTTGTATCAATGGTTCAGGCTGGTGGTGGTGGTGTCATGGTGTGGTGGATCCATCCTGCTTTGTATCAATGGTTCAGACTGGTGGAGGTGGTATCATGGTGTGGGGAGATTTTTTTAGCACTAGCAAGGTGGACCTAACAAAGTGGCCAGTGAGTGTATTTAGCAAAGATAACAAAAAATACATTTACGGGTGGAAAGAAAAATCCCATTTTCTTTCTTGTTCATTGAGGGGCACATTTTATTGCTAGTGTCCAATCTTCTTGTAGATGGCAGTATAACCCAAAGGCAAAGACTTTCTGTGTTCCTTGATGGACTCCCAAGAAAAGGATTTGAGCACAAAAACCCTTTTTGCTGCCCTCGCTCTTTGTGCCAGCCACCTGTGTACTGCAAGGTGGTCACAGTCATAGCAGAGCTATGAGATCCAGCCTTCAGGGTTCCTCACGTAAGCTCCACCAATCAGTGCTGTTGGCTGCAGCGAGTTGTATCTTCTCCATTTTGTATTGGCCGTCAACTTAGGTCTCATTAAAGGAAACACGTCATGAGTGAAACGCGTTGCCAGATATGTTAGTGCCTTGTCTTGTCAGTTATTTTGCATTTTCAGTTTGTTGACCTGGAACAGTGGTGT